TTTTTAAATGTAAATAAATAGTAAAATAAACAAACAGTCTAATCATACCAAGGTCACATTATATGTTCAATCAATCCTATGCATTTTCAATTAAACTTATATGATAGTTCTATATTCAAATAATTTTTGAGTTTATTTGTCTTCTACTGGAATCGTTAAAAAAGTGATACAATTTTGTTTGATCATATGGAAATGTATCTAATATTCACAGAGTAACAAACTTGATTAACAAACTATCATAATAATTGATGTTGAATTATATTTGACATTATATTTAATATTGTTAAAGCTGAATATTATGAAACTGAAACATTATATGATGAATGATAAGACAAGTTCAAAGAAAACGAAGAGAGTAACCATTAACTTATTAAAGAAGTTCCTTAGAAAAATATATTACTTTCAAATAAACTTATCTGTAGAATAAATTCGTATAGAATTAATCAGATTGTTATCGAAAGTATATTTCAGTCACTTGATAGTAAGTCATTTTAATTAAGATATGTGACATAATTGATAAGATGTTAATACGATAATTCAAATGGAGTTGTACCGATAATACACGAATAAATAACAGATATATCGTGAAAGTCCTATAACTTGATGAATCGAAAAATAAGAGAAGACAAATTCTGGCATGTAATTTCGAAGAACTGATACATAAGAAAATTATCTCTAGGTATATACATTATTTTAGTAATATAAAATTACAGTGTAAGGTAATTCAATGACACGTGCTGATTGATTTAAGTTTGTGCTGATGATATCGTTCAGAAGAACGATGAAAGCTCTACGACTGAACCATCCAGCTCAGAGAACAAAACTCCATCAAAATCATCCACCTGAGCTACAAATATTTCCTACCATCACAGTAGAGTAGTTTGTCCAATAAAGTCATTTTAATGACGTTGCAGAATAATTTCAAATCTGTAACAGAAAATTCTCTACCTCAAAGAATAATGATCTGAAATATTAATTCCTATATCATCTGCTTTCTATCAACGTAATAAACATGTACACATTATGAACTTGAAGTTACATTTGATTAACAATATTAGAACATTCTGATGATCAAGTAGTTTTTTGTGAACAAGATGAATGGTTTAATTGTAGAAATATATGAGGGATGAGCAATAAAATATAAAACTAGTGGTAGAGCTGAAAATGGATAATATCACAGAGAATATGAAATTTCTAGTGATCGAGTATACAACTTGGCGAAACCTAATCACCGAGAAATTTAAAGTTTCGTATTTAATAGAGGCAATCTACTTTTCATTTGTTTCTTTCCTTAAGATCGTTCATTGTCCATCACTCTCCACAAAAGGAAATGATAGTGTTATAATGAGTGATGCATACTAACCCTCCAAAATGAATACGAGAAATTGGGATATAATGGCTATGCAGAAGCAACCTCCAGATGATGTACATATGCCAACCAAGAATGGTCGAAGTTCAGTCAAATTATCAACAACGTCTAATCCAAACCATTACAAATTGAATTAATTAAAAGATCGTCTTGATTATAGATCTGAAGAGAAGCTAGAATTTCATGTCTATTAAATGATTGTATAATCCTAACATCTGAAGGGAATTACAAGTGAATAATTTCACTTCAGCCACTAGATTTTGTCCCATCTACCACAAGAAATCATAGGTACACGTGAATATAAATAAACAAACTAATAACTAACAAGATTATTTTATAATTCAGTATGTCAACATATAACAGTAAAATTATGTTGACTACTCAATGTGAAACTAAACACTTTACACCTAAACAGATCATTCTTCCCTAAGAGAAAGTGGATTTACTTAACAGCTCATTGTTATTATCCAGGTAACATCTTTCATTAATTTTTCCGCCCGGTTAAAGTGAATATAACTATATCAGAAAAGTGATCAAAGTTTGTTGCACGTAATACTACATACCATACAATACAGAAAATATTCGAATTTAAGGTTTCGATATAAATCATGCACCTTGGTTAGATAATCAGAAAGTAGTGAACAACTATTTCACCCTGGTTTCAGAATTCCCGTTGCAAAGTCATACCGAAATACTCGTATAATGTCGGTATGACTGCAGAATAACTTACTACTTGCTGATTATTCGATGGAAAACTGATACAACTAAGTGTAAAGGATGCAAAATCGCGAATATAAATATAGTAATGCACCAACAACAGATCGAAACGATATGAAAATGTGCAAATAATATGCATTATTTTAAATGTCGAATCAATGGACAAACGGATATGTTTAAGTGGCAGTAGTTAGTATAAATAATCACTAAGTTAGTATGCAAATTTTACAAAATCGGTAGGTTGAACTGCTTTAACTAACAGTTAGAATTAAATTACTGAGTTGTATGCTTTGCTTCTTCCTAATACTCAGTAGTTCCTATCCACGACGCTACCAGGGTTCGAGTCCCGAAATCCTAGCTTTCGCAGCGAGCACTAAACCTTCAGACTAATGGACTGATATCTAATAGTTTGCAATTCTAATTTCAGTCAATTCGCAAAATTAAGTAACCGTTATCTATTGACGATATTTTTCTAAAGCAACATGGTTGAACTCGACAGTTCATGGCTTGTCACCAGGAAGTACCTTTACAAGTCACTAGTGCACATGACGACTATTTCTACGGTGATATGAAATTTTGAATTCGAATACCACCATAACATAATATAACAGCATCCAAATCTGTGATAGCTGATTAACCGAATCTAAAAATACAGAACAAACACCACTTGTATATTGGGATTGACTAGTTGTAACTGTCAGTTATTGTTAATCTGTGATGACAATTGTAGTCATTAAAATGAACAAATTGGGAAGGTAAGATCGACTAAGTACCAATGTAATGATTAGGAAGCTTAGATCACTCAATAGAAACTAGCAATATCCCTGACTATATAGCACAGAAAATAACTACATAACACCACTCATTGGCACTAAACACATGGAATAGTTTTCTCATCATGCTTTTCATTGTTCATGAAGTAGACCAAAGCATTCTCTTAATTAACTTCTGCAAGATAAAATCCACAACCTTTTAAATATTTTGCATATATATATATGGTTAATATAAAGGTTGTCATATAGAACTTATCAGACATCTCTACAGCAACTTGGATAAGACAATTGTTATTAAATAATTAGGAAATTTTGTCTTAAAACATTTAAGTCTTTTTCTCCTTTGATGTCAGTGTCCACGGACCAGAAAATGCTAATTTGTTAATCAATAGTGATTTGCTGATATACATACTGGACAACTGTATTTCTATCCAAGTATTCGAGTTTTGTTTCTTATCAAATATAGCACTACTACGCATCACTAGGATACACATGCTTCAGTCAACTGCTTTGCTAAAATAGGCAAATACATTTGTTGAACCGAATGGTTTAGACGTTCATGACAGACACTAAGAAATGAATTATCTGAATGCATGATTACCAGGGTTTGACTTGATAATTTCGAATAAATTGAGCATTGGGTAGATTAATCTCCGAAGGAGTGGATTACAGAGTCACGAAAGGTCAGAAAATCCAATTTTCCTACTTATTGGGATACTACAAATATTTTATTTTATTTGTTAGAAATTTCATGCACATAGTTCCGTTTTTACTCTCCATTTATTAGAATTATTTAAAGTTGATCTTGAACACTTATAACCGAAACTTGGTGTATGTGTATACCGGCTGTCAATTATCAAATCACTGGAATTATATATAACGAGAATTAGTTGGTTACAGAACATTTCCTCTTTAAATCACTAACGATCAAAATTTTTAAATCGTTTTTATTTGTTTTAAATCACCAGATATATGGGAATTATAGACTGACCAAAAAAATTGTGACAAGGTAAACAATATGGCAGAACTTCATAAATTTTAGTTGAACGTAGGGTTTCTTTTTTATCGTGTATATGGAAATGCGTAAAGTTGGACTGATAAATACTTCTTGTAAATACGTGATGAATCTAGATGATAAACAGGATGTTTATGAGCAAAACAAACATCAAGGTCATTGAAGCAAAAATACCGATTAAAAGTGTCAATTTTGTACACCACACATCACTAGACAGTAGAGTATTAAAAGTCAACCTAAATAATTTTGAACATGCATTTTCTTTCGCACGCTGCTTGAGTGATGATAGATTATATACAAGGTTTGATCTAACCTAATTTAAGCTGAGCGAGGAATATGTAGTAACACTAGACTTTCGGTGTTAACCTGAATACGCTGTGAGAATACGAAGTATAAAAGCCATATTCCTAATCTGGTATTCAAACTATTTCCACAATAATAATTGGACTAGCAATAGCTAATATATATGGACAGTTTGGGCTTTTAAATTCCGCTATACATGTAGGAGAACCGAAAAATCCCTTGTTAGTGATGAGTAAAAATATTGTACTCTAATTCTGGTACATATGAAGATTTGTTTTTGCTCATGTTATGAAGTATATCATTTCGTATGTAAATACAAAAATACCAATCTTATGAAGAGGTGTTGACACAAACTCACAAGTCCTTCAACAAGTTCACCTACAGAGATTACATGAAATAATGCACGAATAACCTTCTAGTTAATTAACATAATCTACCAGAAAAGGTTAGAACTAGGCGTTTTATACATAAAAGTTTCTAATAGAATTAGGTTAACAACGATTTCATGAACACTTTCTTACTTCGGTAACTATGTACTAAGATGCTGCTACGGAACTTATGATGATAAACAGACTCTAGTGCGACTTCTTATAATCGACTGGTACAAATTATTGTTTAGCTTAGCTAAACGGAGCCTCATAAATTTTTTTGTATATTGCTAAAAGCCATTATCATTAAATCCTTAAAACATGGTCTGACTGCTTGAACTCTGCATACGTTTAGAAATGAGCATCCATCTATCCATCATATGGAATGGAATTTACACAACAGATACATTAACATTAAGACAGTTACACAGATTCCGAAAACTGAATATATTACACTTTCAAATCAGGATGGGCATATAACGCGAATCGAAAACGATCAATTTTACGCTTACGATAAACCATGGGGCAGTGAATTATTAGTTAACTGTTAAAATTATTATAATCTTCATAAATCCCCATTCTAATAATTACAAAAGAGGAGTGAAATAAAGTATTACAATGGTTTAGTTTATAAACAATAATAAGATTAAAGGATATCGATGAGGATTTTTTTCACAAAAAGTGATGAGTAAGAGAAAATGCATATTTATGTACAAAACTGGAAAAAAATCCCGAGAAAGACAGGGTTCTGAATAACAGTATAGTAAATCAGGCTTTTGTTTAATTTACATGACTTTTCATGATCTCAGTTGTGAGATATCGGTTGGATTGTTCACGTTTTCCTCACAAACCTGTTGCTTCTTTTTCTTACACTTTTCATAGTTCTGCTTGTGTCGAAATCTGACAAACAGACCAGGCGAATCATATAAAGATTTACGCTTTATGCGTTTTTCAAACCAAGACAGTCTGAATCTATTATTCGAATCACATGTGTGAGCTTGAAAAAGTACGAAGAGAAAATAGTTATATAGTATTAAATACAAGCTACCATATAGATGGAGTTTTATTATGGAGCATTATAGTTAGATGCATTTATCTATACAAAGTTAATGAGGACGCAGTACTTTTCAGTTGTTCCGAATGTCAAATCGTACCCTATAAGGCGTTCTGCATATAGCTCTGTGAAATCAAGTAAATAACAACATAGTAACTAAAGTAGTGGGTTGGAGAATGCTGGTCGGCGGTCTATGCTCCATTAGGAATAACAGGCGTAAGTAACTAAAGCAGTAGGATACAATAAATTTGCAGTTACCGTCTATCTAAGAGTACAATGCAACTAAGGTAGTATTTCATTAGAAAAATGGCTAAATTATACATGTTTCAGTAAGTGGGTTGTTAGTTTGAACAATTTCTAACTACTTCACTTTGATCAACCAAGTAGTACTATACGTGCATTGATCTCATCACTCACATCCTCACCAGCACTTATGCAGCAACCTAGATACACGAACGGTTTCAACTACTTCTATCTGCTCACCATCCAGAGTGAGTACAAGATTAGAATCCTGTCAGTCTTGTAGAACTACTTTGCACTTCGAAGGTGCAAAGCACATACCATACCTACGGACACTGGTTGCGAACTGATTAAGTGCCGATTGCATGGCTCGGGCATTATCACACAGTAAGACAATATCACCGCATACTCAAGGTCGAGAAGTCTTTCTCCAGGCAACAGATCCACACCACCATTACTTACATCCATCGGAGCTGTTTCCAAAATGTCATCGATGGCAAAGTTGAAGAGAAATGGTGAGGTTGGGCAACCCTGCTTACCCCACTGCTCGAATGGAACAATGAAGAGAGGTGGTTGTATGTCCTCACTCTACCTGAGGTGTTTGCATATAGGGCTTTTAGGATGTTAATAAACTTCTCAGGCACACCCTTCTTCAATAGACAATCCCAGAGAACAGTCCTGTCTAACGAATCGAAGGCAGCCCTGATTTCAAGAAACACTACGATTGTTGGCCTTTGACAAGCATGGCGGTGTTCCAACATATGCGTGGCCGTATGAGAGTATTTCGAGAAGGAGGGCGAGCCCGCCCCGCTCTCAGCCATACCAGGGCATTTGGGGGCCCTATTGAATGTCTATGGATATCCTCTATATTTAATGTCCATGATTCCTAAAGTGAGCGGAGAAAACTGTTGCCCAGTAAAACCGTCCTTTGATTGAAAGATAGGTATCTCGCCTAGGTCAAAATCGACGCAAGTTGGCAAAATCCAATCAACCTTTCTGAACCCGTGTTGAGATTTCGTCAGACACCAAACCATCAGGACCGATGAGACTATCAAGATAGGTGAACCAGTCAGTGCGTCTAACTACTTAAATCTCTATTATTAATTCAGGCGCTGACGCAAGCCAATCCTGAAGTAACATTTCACATCTCGAGGGAGAACCACATCCCAAACATCCTTGCATTGTTGATGACGGTGGTTAGAAAATTGAATTTTGTCAGCGTCTTCACCAAACAGAACTAACCATATGCGTTTTCAAAGCCAAGAAGTGAAATTCCTGGAAGAAAGTCGACCCCTGGAAAGTCGCTTGTTGAAATCTTATCACCGGAGACAGATATCTATGGGATAAGACGAGGTGGTCTTTATAAGATCGACTTTTTCTAACCCCACCCTTCCTTTGTGGGAAGGCGTCGCTGTTACGCTCATTGTCTGAGGAAAACACATCGCTGCCGTCACACCTTTGTCAGTCAGTCAGCTACAACGTAGGACCAGGCACATATATGCATCGGTCCAAGTTGCCATAACTCAGTAGCACAACAAGATGAACAACGGATTCAAATGAGTAGTTAAGTCAATGGTGGTAGTATATAAAAGAAAGATTGCATATAAGGTTTTAGTACAGGAAGACTTAGTACGTAGAAAGAAAGATATGAAGCGATTTTAATCTCTTAGTTTAAGGGAAGACAGAGAGTGTATACACCTACGCCATTGTGATCGATTCTGAGCCATGTCACCCAGAGTCTACAACGATTGGTTACGATAGTCACGCGGACTCCAACCAAGTATTCTGCATCTACCAACATGGTTAAGGCAAGAAGTTAGTGACTTCAAGAACTGATGCCACGTGTTGGTTTGGCCACCCCTAACTTTCTTCCAACCATCCCCTACACTAGTCAGCATTGCGCGACGTGATAATCGGTGTTCTGGCATACGCAACACGTGACCCAACCATCTCAGTCGATGAGGATTCACGACCTCATCAACTGATTTACCATCATTCCTTAGCACACCTCTGTACAGCCAAGAGTACGACTTCGCCCTCGAACCTTGGATCTCATGCTCGTAGTTTTATCGTTCTTCTACTGACCTGTCTGATGGTGACAGTAGAGCACATAGTCATTATGAGCAGCATATACGAGAGTTAGACTTACTCTTAGCTTTCGTGTTGTGTGCAACCTCAGTATCCGATAGTGAGGATGACTTGTTACCTCGATGTATTGAATCGTCTTCTGTTAAAACACCATCAGGAGTTTCATAGTTATTAAAGTAAGGCATCCCAGGACTAAGTTCGTCTAATAAAAGAGATTATTTACTTGGTTTAATATCTGATTTACTAGAAAATCTGACCGGAGTGCGAATAACACAAGATGGTGAACATGGGTCATCTTTGTCTATTTGGATCGGGGTTCTTACTATCCCATCACTGGGTGAACGTGGGTCAAGGTCTAGAACTTTTGAGTGTTTAGGTATTTTTATAGGCGTTAGGTGTTTATCTGTCTCCTTGTCTACTGGACTGGCCCGAAAATTAACATAGTTACCCATTTCCGAAAGTGCTGAATTTTGCGCCACATTATCTGTTGAGCAGATTTCGTTGAACCAAATAAAGCAATTTCCAATTTTTATTTACTTATCTCGGAATAAAACGGGATAAAGAAAACATCTGTCAATCATTGATAGTTGTTGTTCTGTAGAGATTGAACTCAGTTTTATGCTTTGAAATGGTTTTGATAACTTCGCTCAATTTCGACCCTACAATGTACCAGAACTAAATAATGGTTAGAAAGGTGTGATCAGCCGAAAAACGTCAGATCATGAAGACTTTGTGGCCAGGTCCTTTCAAGTTCTTCCAAGAATGTTTTTGGATCATGCAGATTACGTTTCATGACTTTTCTCGAATATTGGCCTTATGACGTCCCGATGTTTGAAATCACGAGACGATCAAAGCTGAACAACGAACAAAAACCTAGAAGTACTGAGTGACCGTGACCAATGAAGTTAAACTTTGCCAAGTATGAGGCAGTTACTCACCGAAAACAGTGGGAAATGGTCGCACAATTTCTTGAATTGACTGAAGGTAGACAACAATAACGTTGGAAGCAAACTTTAGGGAGGGACCGGAAGCCTTTTGTTCCGGTCTAAAGTGCAGGGCCACAAATGCACACTTTTGAGGAGTCGCATACTGGGAAGAAACATTTGTCGGTGCTTCCACTTTTTCAGTGGTTATCATACTGTGATCAGCTCGTGATTTCAATGAAATGGCTAACTATTTGAACATTGGAATCCATGTCTGGGTCGTGTGAGAGATTCCTTGTTTAAAGAGATCTAAGTTCTGGATCTGGACTCTTAGTAGCCTGAAACGTCTTCATTTTGGTTTTCTTAATTTTTTTCCCAAGGTATGTGTCAACATTTAATTTTACTGTTGATGTTTTGTTATGATTGTTGTCAAGTGGGGGTTTACCTATTACAGAAGTGACGTCAACAAGAAAATCCAAACGACCAACAGTTACGTTTAATTACATACATAATGAACAAGAAAATGGTTATCAAGAATCAGTAGGTGGGTAATGTGTTGATATTTAGAGCGTGAGATACTAAATTTGGCTTTCAGAAAGTGAACAACTTTAAGATAACGAGTTCCAAAAAGGATTAAATGTGCGTTTTGGATGCAAATTTAAGCAACTGATAATTTATTCTGCATATGCTTTGATATTTGCGTCATGCCTCTTGCATTGTTGCTACTTAGTAGTGACTGGTGGCGTATCCTTCTTCGTACAAACCGGATTCTATCAATTAGTTCGCAAAATGAACACTATTCCAAGTTATCACTTGAATTCAATCAACAATAACGACCAGAGATACATGGTACTGGGCAGTACTCATTGATAAGTTATTTGCGGATATAATGACCCTTCCGAGGATATCTCTAAGAGGGAAGCATGTACGGTTCTGTTTTCGTCATTGCAAATTTACACATCCGACAAACACCCAGTTAGTGATACATACTCCAAAACCCCTATAATTTATAATATTCGCCATATTGAATGAATATTATATAAACGTGACGAAAATAGAAGCACGGACCAGATGTCAGGAAACTTTTCAGATTTAAATAATGGATGTAATAATTAATATCTATGTGAAGGACTGAAGTAAACAATATAAAGCTACGTGACTACGAAGTCACAAAAATGCATTTCAAAGTGAGTCGTTATCACGAGTGATATATATGTACAAGAACACCTCCAAAAACCTTTACAATCTCAACTAGTTCTACGGATGACATTCTTCACTCTTAAACTATCTTATGACTTAGTCATTCCCTCAAGTAAATGGACTGCTCCTGGCGACCGTGTGAAATGAAAAAGATGTCTCCGAAACCATTATTTTTACGCACAGCGAGAAACAGATACTTCTGTAACGTAGATAAATACATTTCAGGGTATTTGAGAATACAAATAAATGAAACTGTGCAGCGTTATGGACAGTTTACAGAATCAGATTAAGAGATTACCGACAGTCACAGAATAAGCGAAATATCCCTAGACTGACTTTACAACAACTCACTAAAGTGTGACAACGGCCCCATACAACATCAAACTGAAGGTTAAACAAAGGCTGTAAAATGTGTTCGACAGACGAACCCATCAATAATAAAGGGAAACACCCACTACCACATTAGCTCCCTTTGACCTTGTACTACTGTATTTCTTTATTAACCAATCACAGTTTGATGTTCATTGTAAAACAATATTTGCTTGTTGACTCATTTTTCCTATTCTCTGGCTACTGTTCGGTATGTTATTTGTCTCTGTTTTTCCCTGTATTAATAGACCGTACTGTTTGTTTGTACAATAACGATGTTATTTGTGTTTTAGAAACAGATAAAATTTATCTAGCCAAATAGCTTGCTTGTTCTGACTTTGGCCAAACCAAGACTCTGTATTCGACGGTCTAGAGAACAGCTCAGAATTAAACCTGTAGGAAATCGCTCCCTACAAAGTTTCTAGCAGTATCTCATCACAGTTTCGTACATTGGTTACCTTTAGACGCCTATGAAGAGTCGTAAAACTGATCATATTCCTGAATTGTCTCCTCATTATTCAGAAACCCACAGTGGTGACCAGCTCGGAGGAAAAACCTACCGAATGGATCCCTTATTAGAGTTAGAATTAGCTAAAGTACGTTTAGCTCAGACAGAAAAAGGAATCGAGCTAGAATGGTTACGCCAAAAAGGAAGAAACATTATAATCAAGTTATGGTCGAAAAGGAGATGACGTATGAGTCTACATCTGTCTCACATGTCGTTGATGTTCCTCCCAGAAAAGACTGGGTAACAATGATGTCTAGAGCTTTAGACCTACCAAAGAAAGAGATTATAGGATTTGATGGTAACCCTATGAACTATTGGAGCTTCATACGGAATTTTGAGTACTGTTTTGACGAGAGCATTGGGTTCCAATCTAGGTTAAACTATTTAATCCAGTACTGTGATGGTGAAGCTAAAAACACTATTGTTCATTGCGCATCGCTCGAGCCAGAAGAAGGCTATCGTAAAGCACTAGAACTTCTCGAGGAAACATTTGGTCAGAAGCATATAGTAGCCCATGCATTCATTGATAAGATGCTGAACATCCCTGCCATTAAATGGAAAGATCCATATAATATAAGAAGGTTGTCTCGTGAGATGCATATTTGTGAGCTAATACTCACGCAGATGAACTATGTATCTGATCTTAATTCTACAAAGACTATCGAATGCATGTTTTTAAAACTCCCGTTACACCTGCAAAGAGAATGGGTTAAATTTGCGTGTAGAATTCTTAAGACAGGTAGGGAACCTTCATTCAAGGACCTTTACGAATTTGTGTAAGAGCAGTCAGACATTGCTAATATTAGGTACGGCTTACTTGTTAACCTCGGTAGTAATACTGGCAATAAAGATGTTGGTGTATTAAAAGGGAAAATTAGTACAGATTACAATGCAGCAAGAATATCTCATGCGAGTACTAGTGATGATAATGCTCCCTTACGCAGTTCATCTTGTTTGGACTGCTCCAGTAATCATTCTTTAGATCAATGTCAGAAATTTAAAGACAAGAATGTTAGCGAAAGGAAGGAATTCGTTCTTAGACACAAGTTGTGTAATGTATGCCTGATGGCAAACCACGTAGCAAAAAACTGTCGATCGCCTAGGTCGTGTGCTGTCGAAGGGTGTGGCTGGAGACACCATACCGTTGTAAAAGCATTCTTGCACTCAACCACCCCTCAGCTAAAGAGAAATGACAGGATAATTTCGAACAGTTGTACTCGACTGAATTCAAAGATCCATTTAGTCGCACTATATCGATGTTTGTAGAAGATCATATAGCACTCAGTGCCATATCAAATTCAGTACAAAGGTTAAACGGGCACCATCAAATAGCTCTACCTTGGAGGCACAACCAAAAGTTACCTAATAACAGAGAATTAGCAGAACGTAGACTTAGCTGTTTGAAAGGTTGACTTATTCGGGATAAGAAGTTGTTCCAAGACTATGTAGACGCCATGACTCGGTACGTAGAACGAGATTACGCTGAAAACGTAAACGATAAGCAATCTGATGGACGAATTTGGTTACCTCATCATCACCCAGTCTTCCACCCCAATAAACCTAACAAGCTAAGAAGAGTGTGCGATCGTGCAGCTCAGTATGCTGGAACTCCTTTAAATAAGAACCTTTATTCTGGGCCTGATTTAGTCAATAACCTAGTAGACGTTTTCACCAGGTTCCGGAAACGAACAGTAGGTCTTACGGCAGACATTGAAGCTATGTTCCACCAAGTAATAGTTTCGCCGCATGATCGAGATGTTCTTAGATATTTGTGGTGGCCAAGTGGAGACTTAGAAAAGGAACCCGAGATCTATAGAATGAAGGTCCACCTGTTCGGGGCAACTTCATCGCCATGTTGAGCTACCTTTGCTTTACCGAAAACGATTTCTGATAATCAAGATAAATTTCCCAGGGATGTTACGCAAGCAGCTAAAGAGCGACTCTATGAGGACGATTTATTGATAAGTGTGAATACTATAGAAGAAGCCAAACTGACATATTAGCACTTTAAAAGACTTCTAAGTTTGGGAGGATTTAACTTAACTAAATGGACTAGTAATAGTGTTGAAGTGCTGGAGTTCATTCCAGAAGAAGACCGTGCTGAAGGAACCATTATTGTCTGCGAGTCCAAGTAAACGAACTCCGGGAATAGAGTGGAACGTCCGAACAGACGAATCATGTTTCAAAGTTCATTAATTTCACGGAAACTCAACCAGAAGGAATGTTTTATCGTATGTAGCATCTATCTTTGATCCAATTGGGTTTGTAGCCCCAATAATATTACCGGCTAAAGTGATCTTACAAAATACTTGTCGTCAGAAACTAGACTGGGATGCCGAGTTACCCATAGATTGTGAAGCAAAGTGGATTATTTGGTGTAGACATATAAAAGAGTTAGACCACTTAAGAATACCAAAGTGTTTGAAACCAGGGTTTAAATCATCATCAGCGCAAATTCATTGTTTTACCGATGCCTCCGAGCTTACGTATGGTGTTGTTGCG